GGTAAAAACAACAGTGACACACTCGCCTGCGGCTCGTGTGCCACTTCTTTGTTTTTACGACATTTTGACGTCATCTGTGATCTATTACTGAACAGACGCACGGCAACATGGAATCTATTTGTTAAATAGATTATTTCAGTTGACCGTGTGAACTTTTCAAAAATGCTCACGCATGCGCACTCCGAGATTGTCTAGGCGTCTCCCGGCCGTTCGTCTCGGATACGTCACCGAATTGCATTGACCGAGAGGGCCTGAAAAGACGCCGTACAGGGACTAGGCAAGCAGCATACATGAACTCCGACCGATGACTCAACCGCCTTTACAACTCTTCTAAACTGGGAAAAGAAAACAACATCAGTAAATCATCATGCTCCCCACTTATTTCAAGAAGAAGCATAATAAGAATAGAATAAAATGAGACGGCAATTTTTGTTAAGAAAATATGAGTTTTGATCGTCGAAGAAACGGGCAAATAAAGCAATATGTGGAGTTTTAGGATCACAACTTTTGTTTTTTTTCAAAATGAGTAAGTGGTGATCGGCTTTGTGCACCGCAAAAACTGGAAGTAGAAAAGAGCACAAATAAATAACGACTTTTAAACCGATTTAACTTTTATACTGTCAACTAGATATTGACTGTTGGGTTGTAACTTTAACTTAAGGCTTATCCATGTATTGAAAGCCTGTAAAATGTAAATCACTATAACTAGATATTGACTGTTGGGTTGTAACTGTTGCTTCGAGTTTCTGTAGTTTTGCTTCCTAAAATTAACAATTCAATCTAACTGTTTTGTCCTTCGATTGAACAATATTTTTAGTCTTTTTTGTTTTCTATGCAAAACCCATTAAGCCAGCCCCAATGGTGATCAGTTCCTACAGGTTTGACCGTAATATCGTTTACCCCTGACACACCCTCATATTACTTCTTTACTAACAGGGGACCGCTTACGATCCCTTACTGAGTTTTCTTACCACTAACTGCGTCAAACAGGAGACTGCACCACTCAAAGCAAGTAAAATGTTTATCCGTTGTCAAAAAACCAAGGCAGAATGTTACGCAATTGACTCAAGAAAACAAAGCTGCTAAGTTAGCTAAGTACTTCAGGCCGAAGGTATAAGGAACTGTGCGTTAATTTTACCCGGCTGCAGGAGTTTGGATGGTTTCCAGATTTTGATTTTGATGCGCAGCAGATAAGAATCTACCCCCTCGTAATGTAAAATCTTAATTATAAATATAGCTCTAACTATGTTTTTAAGGGGAAAAAAAGACTCCCTCTTTCTTTTCCTGGCTTCCTGCGCATTGTCACCCTGCGTCGCCGACGGTTTTCTTTTTTTCCAAAATCATAAATAAGGTGTCGCCCCGCTGACCAAAAACCCAAAAGACTTTAAGTACGAGATTGTTTTCTTCGCTAAAACTGAAACTGAACATTAAGCATGGGTTACTGGCCAGAACCAAGACGAGGTTTGACATGGCATCATTTAAAGAAACTATAAGTGAATGAATATTTATCGTGAGACGCAGTTGTACACAGGTCTTCTTCTGATTGGACTTTGTGAATATATTTACCTTTGGTCAAGGCTAACCCCGTATAAATGAGACTTCAGTGCTTCTATCCAGTGACCTCGGTGAATTCGAAACTGGACTATTTCTTCCACTTTTGAGAAATCACTGTATAAGACAATTTTTCACGGAGCAAGGGACACGCGCACTTTTCGTAAGCTCGCGACCCGATCACCTGAGGTCACGTAATACAAAAATGCGTCTAATTTAACCATGAGTCAGGTATCTACTTTGAAAGAGCAAATATTCAACTTAATAATTTATTTTCATCTCCTTTGGGAGCCCTTCTGCTAATCAAAATCAGCAACAACAACAACAACAACATCAAACTGTTCGAACCGCTAGTCAACATACGCCGGTCATATCATGTCTTCCTAGGAGCTAAAAGCAGAATTTATTACACTCTACAAGATGGATTCAAGAGTGGTGAATCCGTATCTCTGTGGCGCCCGAGATGAAGCTACATCTTTGCCTTGTATCTTTGAGTTCACCATATATTCTTTGCCCATTTTTGTTTGACACCATAACAACACTTTATCAATATCCGGCGTCTCGACACCCACAATTTCTGCAATTCCTTTGAGTACCACCAGGCCATATGGGACATCTTCGGTCATGTAACGGTATGTAAAATCTGGTAGATATTTACCGTCCTCTGTTTTCTTGACTGGGTGTTTGAGCCCTTGGTAAGCTGCATTGGATTTTATTGCGGTGTAAAGGTTGGTCTTGTCTGCAATGTCTTCAGGATAGGCTCTCATGAACCAATCATAAATGTGATGAACCTGTCGGATACAAATGCATCTGCAGAATCAGATGCAACTCCTGATTATATTTCAACAGAACTGAAAGGCCATCGATTGGCACTTAAGGCATAAGGGATGTTCCCTCCCCTCGCCTCCCCTCCCATACAGGGAAAAATGACAGGCAGTTACAACAACTCTAGCACGATGAATTTGGCATTTTTCGTTGGTTTCACACACACGTCACTCCTATTAACGAATGCTGTTAGTTTCACCCATCAAAGAATCACGAAAGAATACTAATGAGTGAATCTTGAATCGGGATAATAGAGTAATTGAACTTTTTAGCTGAACCTACCTCCGACATATCGGCTCCCGATTTCTCTGTGATTAACTTGGCAGTTTCTAAAACTTCATCACACATACTGGAGATAAGGTCGGCAGTTGACTCGGTTATTCCAATGTAGAACAAAGGTGGCTGATCAAGAGGTTTGCCGTCCCATCCTTCCCACTGTCCATATAATATTGGTAAGTGCAAGTAGGCGTTACCACCACTCATAAGCTGTAGACCCAATAGATGACCTGACACTTTCAGCTGAGGAAGGGGTCCCAGGAGATGCTGCAGCGTAGTTACTGGGTCCTTCCTTGGTGGAACATCTCCTTTCTTTAGAATGAAACAAACAGGTAAGAAAGTATCAAGCTTTAGTTACGTGATGTGGTAAACATACTGTATATTACGCGCGCATGCCTTTATATAATGATGTTAGGTGCTTCTGGGAACAAAAAGAGCTGGCACTGACTTTATGATGGATAAAATTCTCACTCCGGCTTTTCATTGAGACGGGTTTTCGATCACCAACTATTTTTCTCGTTTACATCATCTGGCTTTAACAGCAAGTGTGGATTCATTCCAACGGAATAAACGTTCGACAACCACCACAAACAAATTCCAGGCAGCGAGGAAAAATGACCGGTTGCTCCACGAAACTTCAGGGAAAAAGAGATTTGTGTTTTTTAAGATAACTTTTTGTTTTGTTTCGCTATAGGAAAGCTGAAATCTCTAGCGACATATTTTTCACTATCTAAAAAAAGGCTCACGTTATAAAAGTACATTCACTCAAATTGAGGGAGTTAGGAACTAACACGTATCCATGCCAATACTAACGCCAGTGCCATCGCAGCGGCTAATAATAAGTACTATTTCAGCAACTGAGGACGCTAAGGGTTTTGCAAAACGTACATTTTTTAAATGCACGCATCCATAGTTCAGGGGATCGATTTTATACACGTACTGCGGTGCATGCTGAGAGCACACCTTCAAACGTTCAGCCATCAAATCGGCCTTGCAGTGAAAGGCAGATACTTTAGATGGTAAGCTTCTGTGCCAAAAATACACTCACTTTTCTTCGAAGAGAAGCGGAACAGCATCAGAAGGGGACAATGGGGCAAATATTGATACTGTGCACTCGAAAACAGAATGCAAATTGATTGTCATGAAACAGAGGTGGATACATGGAACATTTTTTAGGTTTAGGTAAAAGGCAGGTTTTAACTTACAGTCTGTTATATAAACAAAGAAATAATCACGAAAAGAGACCTTTTCCTAGATTCAAAGTCTAATTACAAGAGCAGATCTTGTATCTGTTAATCAATTACCAAGAGCTATAAATTAAAAAGATACCTTCATGGCTCCTAAGAGGGATTCTTTGGTCCCAAAAACTTCACATTTCACTCCATACTCAGTGATACGGCAGGCCCAAGGTAACGTCTCAAAATCCATAATCGTACATTGCCGCCCTGTGTCACCGAGCAAAGAACGAGCTTGGAACTCAAATCCTGGTCCACCTGGCATGCCGACAATAATAGTACCAGGCTTTATATAAGGTTGAATGGCATCAAAGAAAACTTGATGGGCAAATGCTGGCAGCACGAACACGACGATATCAACATCTTTCATGGCATCTTCTGGATTTTTGGTAACCAGAGCTGGTTTAGACACGATTGTAGTTGGATCTTTTCCTGCACGATTCAGAGTAACCTCGAGATCCTTTTTCTGTATTGCATTACTCCAACGCTCTGCCTCATCTTGATACAAGCTGAGCACCCTAACCTCTGTTCCCTTCATAGACGATGCAATTCCAGCAAAGGCATGTGCCCCATTTCCACTCCCACAAATCAACAGCTTGATGATGTCTGCTGAACTCATCATGTCTTATAAAAAAAATGAGAGAACATTTAGAAAAGTTAATTCCACAGGCACGTTTTAGATAACCATTATTTAAATGCTGCCTTGATTTCAAAAGCTGAATATTATCAGAAACTCATAAGGGGTTGAAACGTGTAACTCGCGTTCAATGCTCGTGAATATTCACTTTTATTATATTTGGAAACCTTAGTGACAGATATCCATTTTAAACAAATGGCTGCCGCGCGATCACCATGCAGATGTTTTAAGGCAAGAGTTCTGCATTTCAAGGTTAAAAATACACCCTTAAAAGACAAAAAATTGAAAGAGAGGGTTCAAAAGAATGCTCAGCTGTCTTTTTGCGGAGGAAGGGAAGCTTTTCATCAAGAAATCGTCCTTCGAGGAATTCAACCTTGTTTTCTTCTCGACGGAGCGCATGGTCTGTTTTGAAATGCAACCAAGGTAGTGAAGTTTTTGCTGAATTTTCAGGAACATTTTGCACTCTATGGCCAAGACAATTACGTTTTTGTAAGGGAACTTATGTATTTTTAAATGTTTCATAGACGTTTTATAAATTTTTCTCATCGGCGCTAAAAAAAATTACAAAATGTGCCCCGATTTGAGATGGATTTTGTGATTTTGCCATGTTCTTAGCCGATTTCACCTGCGTGAACGGATCCACGATCCAGATAGTGTTTTCCGAATTGCTTTAAGGGATTGACTTTTTGGATTCTGAATAAAAATTTTCAAGAAACGGCTTCTCTGTCTATTGTTTTGAGTTTGTTCATACATAAAATGAGCTCAAAACGCGACCGTGACTACAATATCCAAGCTGTAAAAGCTTAAATGCTTCTCATATTCATTACACGCATCACTTTTTGCGAAGATGTCAGGTTCAGGTTTTGGACACTTTTCGATACGCAGCTAATGAATTTTATTCGAAAAGATTTTTTACTGTTTATTCTAGACTTTTAATATACGAATTTTAAAAGCCTATTTGCAGTATAAGTTTACCGTGCAGAGGGTCAACAAGGCATCGTTTTTTGAAGTGACAACTTCAAGAAGTTGCGAGGACGTCAATGGGTTTCATAATGTTATGTTTGGCCCGGGTGGTAAGGCAATAATATCCTGCTCAGTGTTTTGGTAAGATTCCTGGCTTCAACCTTTGAAAGCTTTCTCGGCTCTCGGGAGTTTTTCCCCCGTTTGTCGGGGGTTTGTCGGCCATTTTTTTTAAGCGGGCGCGGGAACCTGAAGTAAAATTACGTCACGTTGTTTACGAAGTTTGATTGGTCAGTTATCTCTTCTTCTCGTTCCAAATATGGTACTTTTGAAAATGAATAATCACGAGCATCGGACAAAGCAAACATATGAGAGTTATACGTTTCAACCCCTTATGAGTTTCTGATATTACTTTATACGGTTCAGCCTTAGCAAATAAACAGCTCAGTAGTTGACAGCACATCTAAATAAATCTTCCATTCTGTGGGAAGTTTCCCACAGGCTCCTCCTTTCTTCTTTACACCTTCTTTCCTTCGCCTTGATGTGGATCTACCTTTGTTTAATTCAATGGAACATGTTGCTTTGCACATTTCAATTACAGTTTGATCCAGATCTCCAATCAGCTGTGTAATTCATTCTTTTGAATGTCTATCAGTTAATATAACATGGATAGTGCCAGACTTATACTGGCGGTGGCAAGACAGCCCTGTCTGTAATTTGTACATCCAGTCACTGTAGAGACTACATGTACAATCACGTTCCGCTATCATATTACTCGTAAATATTCTTTAGCCTTCAAAGGCGAGGCTCTTTAATATTGTCTTGATTTTGCCTTACATAGGCCAATGTTACATATTGCCATGTTGCATGGGATGGTTATTAAAACGATCTGTTTAAAGGCTTCCAGCACATGCTGGATTTTCAGACAATAAATAGTTTACTAATATTGTCACATTGTACAATTGGTTTGATCATTGTCATCAAAACAGAGTTGCACCAGCCCTCTCTTAGAGTTTGAGCACCGAGGTGTGGTAAAAGTTTCTTAACTTTGCGTCCGGCGACATTCAACAGCGTCAAACTGTCATAAAAGAAGGAAAATATATACATACATTTTGAACTTTTTTTTTTATCGGGACCTGATGCTGGTAAGACTTTTTAAGTATTCTAATTCATATCCCGGTTTCTCGGTTTTGTGTTTTACAATTATCAAAAGCTTTTCGTTGGCGTGACAGTAAAAAAGTAATTATGTATTCACATTTTATCATGTAAATATAATTTTGTACGTTGATGTATCGCTGAGATAAACTTGGTAAGTAAATAAGTAGAGAGAGCAAGGATGTGTTTGAATTGTATCATCGAATCTACCTTACCCTCGGATTATTCGATGTGAACCATACGATGTTAGCCGGTTATTCAAACATGATTCATTCGTAACGGACCGTAACATAACAACCGTACACAGACGTTCATAAAGGTAACGTTAAATACCAGTCGTTCGCTTTTCTCTGATGATTAAGAGATTGGCCTTTTTAGACGTATGCATTGTAATCCCTGTGCCATCAGTATTTAATAGATTGGCTGATTTAGTTTCCAGCCAAAACAGTTTGAACTCACAGTAGTTTGAAAATACAATTTGACAATACAGTCTAAAAGTACAGCTTGTTTCTTCTGGGAATGCTCCTAGTTCTGGTCACCATTATTTTGATAAAAATAATAGAACAGCTGAAAAAATAGGCCCTGTTATTCAAGGACATGCAAGCAAGTAACAAGGTAATGTTCAGTACATGAAAGGTTATAAAACTGGTTGCTGTGTCGAAGACAGTCGTTTTGTAGAGTTTGTGTTTGTGTGAACCAAATTGGCGCTCGCTGCCGGCGCCCTCGACATGGAAAATATATTATTTATATGTATATCTAAAGGAGACTCCATCTTTTTAAATAAAGGAAACTTAAGCCCTATCTTCTCTCCGGAAACTTAGTAAGCGTGGTCCTTCACTCACCGTCGGAAAACCCCTCTAAATCGAGAACTTTGTTGCGTTCGGCAGGCGGCAAGAGAATACAGAATACTGTAACCCGTCACGCAATTCAAACTCGTGACGTCATTGTATCGCTAAACACACGTACGTGCGGTAATCCACGATACGAATCTGACAGATGGTTAGTCTTTTCGATCGCATTTTTGATTCTTGATTTTCCATATGCAAGAGCAAATTATGTGTAACAATTTTGATGTGCTCGTATTTTATTCTTATTCTCTTAATCTTCTTGCAGTAAGGATCATTTAATAACTGTTTTTTTTTCCTGTTTTGTTTTGTTTTCGTTTGTGTGTTTGTTTTGTTTGTTTGTTTGTTTGTTTTTTTGCATTTAGAATTCAAGATTTTCACTGATTCAGGCCGACAGAAGATCCGGCTGCGCGTCATCGACATATCATTTGATATTGTTTTCAAGGAATGGAACAACCTCGTCCCCAGGGCTCTTTTCCTTGATATAGTTCACTTTAAGTTTTATTTGCATTTTTCTTTTAGCCCTTGAAGAAGGTTTGCTTTCAAACCGAAATATTGGGCAATTTGTTTAAATATATATATATTTTGTTTTATTCTTTTGTTTACTTCTTTATCGCCTTTCCGTAAGGATCAGTTTGCCGTTCATATTTTTGTCGTTTCCTTGGAAGCCAAGGAAAAGCGCCCTGGGGACGAGGTTGGGCATGGAAGTACCAAGTCAGAAGATTCCACACGCTAAGGAGAAACATAAATTACTAAAAGAATAACAATATTCCAGAGATTCATCTGGTGGTATAGGTAAACTGCATGTCTCCAGTCCGAGTTTTTATTCCGTTAAACAATGACAAAATATTAGAAACTTTATGGTGGCTATAAACCTATCTTGTTGAGTTTTTTTTTTATTATTTACTTTCCGATAATAAAAACATACAGATGTAAATAATCGGACCTTAACACGGTATTGGAAGGCATCTTGTCGCGTAGACAATTGCGTGAGAAATAACAGTGTTTGTACAGTCATATGCATGAGAATCTAATGTCGAATAATTTTCGTAAAACGGCTGTTCCGAATAAGGTAGAAATTGTAAACTAAAGCTACATAGCCAAGGATTATACTAACAAATTTTGGGCCGTACTTGTGTTTAATTTTCTCCAATCGCTTGCTTTAGATTTTCCATATATTTGTCTGCAATTTTTCTCGGGAAATTTTTGGTCGCCATGCAGGAAAAACATTATTACAGACAAGTGAATAGAAAATTTTAAAAAGTGGTTCAAGCGCAGGCGACGCTCTCAATTTTTCTTTCAGTGGAATCCTAGCTTATAATTAGGAGTGAAGCTTTAGTTTCAGTACAATTCATAATTTTTCCGAACAGCAATTTTACGGAAATTATTCGACTGTAATTTCTAACTCGGTTGCCTACCCGTGAAGATGGCTTCCAAAACCGTGATGAGGTCTCATATGCTGTTGGCATGGGAACCTATGAGGCCACACTAGTCATCACAGCTTCTTCACTTCTATTTGTTCAGAACCATTATTACAACATCGAATGAGAAAGCAATGCATTATTGATACAGTAAAAAAAAGTGCTAGGCAATGTGACAAACCACTGCGAGCCACCTCATTTGGTTTTACATTCCGCTCTCTGGATTATTTATTGATCTATTTATTTATTTTTGGTACTAGGGAAACGGGTTAACCTGGAACACTCCTATTGAACGTATTACACGAAATCCAGCCCTTAATTATGGATCGTTGAATTTTACATTACCTTCATATGATTAAACCGTCTGACCCCTAACTCAGATACGACCTAAAATACTATGGGTTTCGACCGTGTCAGACTTTGACGCTACACCCTTGCAAGACCTACATATCGGCTTCCTTCTCAAGCTTTACACACGGCACGGATCATTTAAATGTGCATGTTTCACCCCTTAGTTAATTGACTTGTTTGCTACGCAGCCGTGGTGTCGTCACGCAACGTTCGTTCCCACACAGCCTTCTTTAGTGTCTGTTTGATAGGCCTACAGGACTCTTACCAGGATATCGATAGGTTGGTTCTTTGTAACGTGCATATGTATGATGAATTTCATGTGCCGGATGTACTCATTCATTGTGTTGCTGTACATGTGAAGACTAAACTCTCAAAGGTACTGATGCAAACAAGACCAATCTTGTAAATTATCCATGAGCGATTTCGCGAAGCTATACCCGGCAACTTTATGAGCACATCTATGCTGTGCATCACATTTGCTCGACTTGATTGCTACTGCTGCTGCTGCTGCTTATCTCATAAATTTTGAATAGGGCTCGACTACGACACCACCACTCTAGTTGATTGCTTGTTTTCACGCGACGATTTTGATTGTTCTGAGTCATATATGGGCACCGATAAATGCAAAGCTGTGATTGGAGGAATCACCATGCCGCAAACGTGGCGCGAACGCCTTCCAGAAAATGGGAGCTGAATTCTAATTGGCTAACAGCACGAAACTTCTCAGCAGCCGTTTGTGAGAAGTAGCGATGCGCGACGACACTGAAAACAGCTGTGTAGCAGACTATTACTCGACCGATTAGGTGTAAAAAGTATACATTAGGTCAAAATGGTCAAATGCAATCCACACCTTACACGATTTTATAAAAAAATATGACTAATAAACTTTATATATCTACTGACACAATTACAGGTTTGTCAAACCCTACAAGATGGATTCAAGGGTTGTGAATCCATATCTCTGTGGCGCTCGGGACTTCTCGACATCTTTGCCTTGTATCTTTGAGTTCACCAGATACTCTTTGCCCATTTTCTCCTGAGACCACAGCAACACCTTATCAATATTGGGCGTCTCAACCGCCACAATTTCGGCAATACCCCGGATGACAACCAAGCCGTATGGGATATCCTCCGTCATGTAACGGTACGTGAAATCTGGTAGATATTTGCCGTCGTCTGACTTCTTGACAGGATGTTTGAGCCCTTGGTACGCGGCATTGGTTTGTATTGCAGTGTAGAGATTAGTCTTATCTGAGATATCTTCTGGATAGCATCGCATGTACCAATAATAAATGTTAACAACCTGTCGGAAGATATAACGTATCTTCATCAGCTCATGATATTTGAGCAGCACTTGTCATTGACAGAGAAGATGAGGCGGGGCGGGGTATGGGGATCTACGGCAAAAGAGAAATGAGAAGAAATTTTTGTCGAAACAATAGGGCCATTTATACGAGGAAAAATAAGACGCGTCTTAAATACGACGCGAACTGTACCATTTATACGAGCATGTCTTATCTAATAAGACGCGTCTTAGCTAAGCCGCGTCTTATTTTAGACGAAATGTGCCGTTTATACGAAAAGTTCGCGTCTTATTTAAGACGCGTCTTATGTAAGACGCGTCTTATTTTTCCTCGTCTAAATGGCCCTAATATAGCTTGAAGTACTTGACAACCTGACATAGACATAGAATCAAGATTAATAGCGAGCGTTCATAAATGGTATTAAGCTTTTTTCTCCCATACCACACAGCTGAGAAATGATAATTGATGTCTCCTCTAAATAAAATCAGTCTTAGAATTCAGGATCCACAAACTCCAAATATTGTCTTATTTTTCTGGATATTAAGAAGGGTTTTATATCGTCAACGATATCATTTAATGCCTCTAAAATTTTGTCTGGTGATTAAGAGCGTATGGACTGTTTTTTATCTTTACTTTTTACGTTCAACTATGTTCTTTTCACAGTTGAGGCAATACTGCTTCAAAATTAGTTAATTGCTAATTGAAAGATATATTTGCGGCGGCTACGTTACTGGCCGAATTCATATTAGAAGACGGCAAACTCGTCACAGACGGAATTCCGTCAGAGAGAATACCAAGCGATATGAATTCAAATCGTCTTCAAGTCGCGACCGATGTAAATTGTAAAAAGCTGTCATCTCCCAAAACATCTTCCAATTCTTCCCCAGTCTGTCGAAACCGTTCTTTGTTCGCGTGCTTATTCAACGGCTACTTTTCCAGCTGATACAGCCAAGAGCATTCTATTCAAGATGTCAGTGCTTCGAAGATCAAGCATCAACGTTACAGGGGTGAATCCAGAAAGGGGCGGCCGGGTCACTTGAACAAAGCTATCTAGATATGTATGTCTATTTTACTGAAAATTCTTTAAAATAATACAAAATTTAACACAAAAAGGGGTGACTGCGGTCCACTTGACCGACCCCTATTAAATTCGCCTGTGAGCGTATGCACTTGCTTCTCCTTACGTCTTAGTAAACTTGGTTGTTTCTCTTCATCTGCTTCTCGTGACCTTCTGAGTCTTAGGCTACATTTTTTTTTACTCAGAAACAGCTGCTGGCTTTCTAGTTCAGGTCTTTTCCTTGGGTCAAGTACAAAAAAGTCGTCTTGATTTTCGCGTCTAATCTGAATTTAAGACGGTTTTCCGTGTAAGACGAATTTCCCGTCCCCGTATTATTTTCCCGTCCGGCGGTTAAGACGGAAAAATGGACGGATAAATTTGAGACGGGAAACTCGTCCTTAACCGGATTTATATTGGACACTCATCGACATTTGCAAAGCTATTGGATAAGAGCACTTTTATAAAAAATAAATAAATAATAAGTCACTACAGCGTCATTAGCTAGACTGTCACAAAATACAAAAGAGTGTCAAAATACAACTTATTTCATTTCATAAACAGTAAATACGCTTAGGCTTACAGCGTACAAGGTATTTAAAAAAGATTTGGGTTGGGATGCGGAAACTTGTGCTTACCTGAGGAAAAATCCTTGCTATGCCCCTGCATCGGAGGTTGAAGCGCCAATATAACGTTATTATGAAATACAATTGAATTGCAAATCAAAAATTGCTATGAAATAGCATAGAACAAAAGCTTTTTGGGAAGACTTATAAATTTCCACACACCCATGAACTATGTCAGGAATCGGACTCACATTGAAGAGCAAGCTTATCTAATTTATACTATACAGTCTTCCATACAATAACTTATTTATGTAAGAAACAATTTTACTTTAATGTGACAAAACAACAACAACAACAACAAAAAAAAAACACGAAAGCCGTCGTGAAATAAAGGCTTGATGAAATATCAAAGCTCGTTAACTTTATCTGTAAAATCTTTCTCTTAATTAATTAAAGGGCAGGTTGCGTATTGTAAACGCGATTAAGATGGACTCCAGAAAAGGATTCGCGTTTTCTCGCTGCTTTCAAGGCTTTTCTATTTCATAAACGGTAGGTTCTCCATTTTAAACTGCATTTAAATGGAAACGTACATATTGAAGAGTTGTAGTCAAATTCAAATACTACAGAAACTTACAGACTTAGATAAAATAACTTCTTTATGTAAGAAACAAATTAACTCTTAAAGAATGTGAGAAAAAAACGCCATAGTAAAGTGAAGACTTGCTAGAATATCAATTCAATTTGTTTTTATACTGAGCCTACTTACTGATTGGTTAGAAAAACTATTTACCTCCAGCTCCTTAATCTTATCTGATAAATTCTTTCTTTTAATTAGAGTACAGATTTCGTGTTGTGAAGACAACATGGACTCCAGAGCAGGGTTCGTTTTTCTCGCGGCTTTCAGCATTGCCATTGCCAGCAAAGGTAAGTTCTCCATTCCTAACGGCATTTAAATGAGTTCAGTATTTCCTCTACATGACATAAAAATATATCTGTAGTTGTTTGAATCATTTTTAAAATCAAAAGGAATTGGACAGTAGAATAAACTGAGACGGGAGAACCCACGCATACGTGTTACATGATCTCCCAACCTAAATCACAACGGTAAATCATACCTACCTACAACAAACTGCTAGATGGACAGCATGGTCTTTTAAAACGATAATTTCAAGACTGTAGCCATATGGAATATCTCTCTTTAAATTTGCTTTGTTTGATTTTAGATTACCTTAACTCGCACTGGCTTCAAATATTAATCACATTGGGAAAACCGTTTGTTTTATTTTATTTGTTTATTTTTGGCGTGAATATTTTGAATGAGTCTAAGATCTTTATGGTTTATGGATGCCAAATCCAATCATACTCTGACTGAGTATAATACCCTTTGAATTATTTAGTCCTGGGAATAAGAATATTTACTGATTGGAAGGCAGTGCGTGGTGTTTCGCTTACAACTGAAGGAACGTCTCAATATCAAATATATTGGACTAGTTAGTACCACTAAATTCCTTTGTCAAAAAAGTTTGTGATTTTTTTGCTGCAGGAGATAAATCTGTTCTCACTAGGTAAACGTATTACTGATCTACTTTTTTTCAGATGGATTTCCGCATTGGGGATATAAAGAGTCAGGTAAAACATTTGCCGAGTTTTGAACTCGGATTTTCAAAAACTATTAATTGCGGGATGCATTTTAATTTGAATCAGAGTGCAAGAATTAAACGACAACAAACCTGTAGGAGGTATTAAGACTAAAAGTAAGGACCAGGTATTATTTTATATAGCAGCTCTTTCATGATTAAAGATTTTCCTATTTACGAGCAAATTACCCAACCTCATTTCAATCACTCGTCCACTTTTTATAACAATATTTGTGATAATAAGCAAACAAAACTTCTAATACCCTTTGTATTTATTTTTTTTTTCATTTGAAGTTATATTCTATATTCCATATACTGAGTCTACACCAAGATCTAGGATCTCTTCGCTTCTATTTTTCTAAGCTGTCCTTGCAGATTTTACAGTTCTTTTGAGTTCTACTTGGAGTTTAAGCTCTTAAAATAAATTGTTCCGAGCATGTCGTTAGACGACAGTGGCCTCACGATGTTGAGCCGTGCCTACTCTCACTGCGGAGTATTTCGAAATAGTAAATAAAGAACTCTATTTCATGGAAAACATGCAAGATATATACTTTGATATAAATCAGTTTTCCACATTACTGCATCCTCAGGAATCGGTTTTTCGTTGAGTTTTATCCGCAATTATTTATTTTTTATTGTAGATTATGGGCCAGGAGACTGGGGAAAAGTAGCGCCACCATGTTCAGGACAGTTGCAGTCCCCCATCAATATCGTTTCAAGTTTGGCTGAAGTCAACACAACCCATAATGACTTAGTAGTCAACTTTGATAACATGAATGGCGCTGTCACCGGATATTTGATTAATAATGGACACGCCCCCAAAGTGTTTGTTGATAACAACCAAGGCGGAGCAACTGTCACTGGAGGTCCCCTGGGACAGAACATGTTTGTATTGCAACAGTTTCACTTTCACTTCGGCTGTAACAGCTCTGCTGGTTCTGAACACACGCTTGATGGCAAGACTTTTGCATCAGAGGTTGGAATGTTAATCTATAGTTCATTTCTCTGTTTTTTATCGATCCCTACAGTATTGTTAAATACGTCTCTTACTACTTTATTTGATGCCCTCGAAATGTACCCCATGTGACAACAGAATCAATCAATGTAAAGGGTCAGTGACTAAATCTGGATTGATTTATTATAGATGCACTTGGTGTTTTACAATTCAGTTTACAAGAGTTTCCAGGTGGCTTCCTCCAAACCTGATGGCTTGGCCGTCATTGGAGTATTTTTGCAGGTATGGGTACTAATAAAGATTAAAATACGTTTCACAGGTATTTAATGATGAAAAAACTAAATATTGTAATTTCGACCCTCTGTTATCTAATTCGATTCAAACACCGGTAGCACCCTTCCTCCCTTACTCTTGAATAGGACTTATGTGTATTATCCTTGGTTATCTAAATAATATTAGGGTTCGATCAGCTTGTGACATTATTTAAAAGTTTTGAACAACACATAAGATAAAAATTACCACCTTTATTGTGTCGACAAGGCAGTTAATGTAGCCGAGAAGTCGAAATCAGAAACTCAAAATTATTATTGGAAAATAAATTAATGATAATCATTAACTGTTAGAGTTTTTATGTTTAATTATGCCTGTTCACTTAACGTAAGCCACGCTTTTACTCTCTCGGACTTGGTTACCTTGCTCTAATTCAGGTCGATGGAGGATTCAGTAAATGGATGGAATACATCGCCGTTTCGTTAAGGAATGTTAAGACTGCAAATGGTAAACATCCTTTATTGTTCTTGTATATAATTGTCATATTGTGTCTGACTTAATCGCGCCTGAAATAGCAGTTTATCGGATAATATACTCCGTTTTTGTTTCTTTCTTTTTCCTTAAAGAGATCAACTATAACCTTGGAGACAGCATCGCTTTGTCGAAACTTGTTCCAGAGTTGGCTTCCAAGAACGCCCCTTACTATGCGTACAAAGGCTCCCTTACCACCCCACCCTGTTATGAATCAGTGCAATGGATAGTGATGAAAAATCCGATTTCGGTTACCGAGTCTCAGGTAATGCTTACTATCTGTGTTAAAATAATACGATATTATTCTCAATGAAGTGGATCAAGTCAGTGGCTGATGCAGAAGAAGAGTCCAGGGGAAATGGACGCTTTTTTGACCAGAGCGGCTTTCAAATTGCATTTTGGCATAAAGGCACAGATGGATTACATACTACATTCATGCCTGCAAATGCTTCAATTAATGACGTTCTTGCTTGTTTAAACTTGCCGAAAAATAATACAACAATAGCCGGAGAATGTATAGTAACATAACATCGACGCAAACTGTAAAAACTGAACCGTTTCTAACAACGTAACATGTAAGTAACTCTTCAGTGACATTTATGGTTTCTCAAAATAACCGTCATGATTGTTATGAAAGATGCTTATTTTCGTTTCAAGCTTTCCTTTTCTTCTCTTTTTTTTTGCTATTTGCAGCTGGAGATGATGCGATTATTGACAACACCTAACGGTACTCCGATGTGTAACAACTTCAGACCAGTCAGGCCCTTAAATAGACGGAAACTCATCCAACGGTCGCCCAAACAAGCTAAACTCCCTGGCCGGCTAAGGCTTCAAGGCATTCGATTGTATCACTAAGAAGAGATCAGTCACTAAAAAAAATTGTCCTGCATATTGTTGCTACGTAAAGTCAACCACGAAGATGTTGTTTATTATCGATTTGTTAACTTCTAAGGGTCATTAATGTCACCTACTAACTGTGATTATAGCGTATAAATAATTATGCAAGAAAATGAAGAACATAAAGAAAGAAAATAACAACATAAAGGAAATACATGCTTAGCCAAGAGATTGTCGATAACTATTCAGGATAAACTACTTGACCATGGGAATTTCAATTGCAATTAGTCTCGTGCTTTGTTTTTCGTAACCTTAATAAAATTTATTTAAAAGCTTCATAAAGCAAATGTATAAATGGCATTTGCCAACATTCATTTGCAAAATGTGTGTAATGTATAATGCGCACACTTCAGAGAATTTACATGAAAAAAGAGCCATTTTTTTCTCCCTCCTCCGATACTTCTCAAAACCTTCTGATACTTCGGACAGAGTCTGACAGAGAAAGGAGACGAGTAGTCTACCTTCAGCAATGTTTAGTGATTAGGGTTGACAAACTGAGTGAATCAAGTGCAGGTCAGTTTCCCAGCATAAGGACCCTGATGAACCTAATCACTAAACCTCAGCGGCATAGTCCATTTTAAGGTAGTCCATATGGGTATTCCATGGGGGCAGTCCATGGGGCTAGTCCATGGGGGCAGTCCATGGGTTAGGGGTCAGTGTTTTGCTCACCGTCAAAGATAAGCCCCGTTTTGACTTTCCCTTGCCTTCCCTTCTTTAACATTCGAAGCTCAGTAGTGCTTTGTCAGTGCCTTCCTGCATACTAATAAGATCTAATAAGTGGTATGGTCGTTTCTTTTCATTTGATAATAGCTGTACTTTTGCGCAACACTGTTACAATAAAACGAAGCCTTGCCCAGTCTCTTCTAAACCTATCTGGTTTCAGTGTAATGTTTTCAAAATTTAAGTGCTTTCCCTCTTAGTGGAAGCCTCGCGCTATACTACATATTTTGTCGTTTGCACTCGTGAATTTATTACCAGACGGTTCCGATAGGCCTGACTCCTTTAACCATTGCGAAGGGGTCCCGATCTAAATGCTTTTATAAATGTCCTGTGTTATCAAGGTCAGTAAAAAAATAAAAATTGCTTGTCCAAAGATTATAATTTCAAATATTCTTTAGACTGTGATAACGGAAAGTTTTCACCACCATCTACACAAAAAACACATACAGAAAAAAAATAACGCAAAGAGTTTGAGGGAGGAAAAAAATATCATGCAACTGGCACATACTAGAAGGAAAAAAAATCGCACTGAATGAAGGGGTTGAAAAAATCATGCCTACCCCAAATCCACCCCATAGGTCACCCCATCCTACTTCCAGAAGTAAAACGGTTGACCCCTTAGCTTTGTCTCCAGCTTTATTGGACACAGCCCGGCTACCCAAAGGAGATGGGTGCTAACGAGTACATAACAACACAGGTCATTCAGTCGAAGGTCCCATTCGAGTCGAGGGGCCTCTACCACCCAATCCCACCATCAGTGAAATAAAGGGCTTTTTGACACTTGATTGGGGCAAAACGTGCATTTTTTGGGAGTTTTTTTGTTAAACAACAAAAACTACAATCTTTACGTGTACTCACCCTTGCTCAATAATAAATTGAGGCAATGAAAATATTGAAAGTAAAATTAGAGTACTGGCCTCCTGAACTAACCATAAGGGCTAGTAGAGCCAGGTAGCCAGTTGACACCAGCATTAAATGGAATATACATTACAGGTCAACTAAGATACTAATGCACAAATACACATATAAAAAAAAAGAAAGAGAAGAGGAAAAACGCTATTACTTGATATATGAATACAAAACAATAAATTAGTGAATTCTACTGCCGTTAGACCTCCCATAATGGAACGTAAATGAAATAAGGCAACATGCAACACGAAATAAGAAGTTAAGAAGAAGAAGAAAAAGAAAACGCATTTTACTAAGCTGAATTCACTTTATTAACTGAACTAACAAATTTACCGACATCTTTCCTGCTGACCGCTGACCGCAGACCGCCAAACAAAAAGACATTATGATTAAAGAAAACCAAATCCCAAAACTGTAGGAAGGCGAGCTATTTTTTTATTCTTGAGTGATGGTCGGGTCGGCAATCGAATTAGGACCTAACATCTCACCAACTAAAATTACAGATCGGTAATTACTGTTTCTTTTAGCAACATATGTCCTCTAATGACTAACACTATTGTTAATAAAATCTCTGAAAATCGATGAAAGACTTTCAAGAAACCAGAGCGAGTTAGGATAAAGATTAAAAGAAATATTAACAATAAAACAAGCTGAACTTACCTCTGACATATCGGCTCCTGAATTCTCTGTGATGACCTTCGCAGTTTTCACAACCTCATCAGACATACCACAAAGAAGGTCGGCAGCTGCCTCGGTAAGTCCATTGTAGAACAAAGGTGGCTGATCGAAGGCTTTTCCATCCCACCCCTCCGCCCACTGTCCGTACATTATTGATGTGTGAAGGTAGGCATTTGTACTCATTAGCTGAACACTCAGTAGATGACCTGACACTTTCAGCTGAGGAAGGGGTCCTAGAAGATACTGAAGTGTCGCAACTGGGTCCTTGTTCACTGGCACATCTGCCATCTTTACAAAGAAAAATAAAAGATGAGCTGCAACTTTCATAAAATGTTGCCTCTTGGTAACAAAAAAAAACTAACTTTGATTACCATTATAAGACCATCACGTTATTACTCAATCAAAAATACGGAACGTCGCTTTCTGAATGAGAAAGCACACGGCACGTTTTAGATCGTTTTAGTAAACACTTAAACTTTACTGAATACCTTTTTTTGTACAGAATATTTCCTTTTCAAGATGCTACTTAAGTCATTGACCTATCATCTTCTTAGTGGTCCTACATCCAGGAATCAAAACATGTTATCTATAGAAGAATTTCTGGAATATATGTGTTGAATTCAGTCCTGAAAGTGCCTACAGACTCTACATTGTGTTTATTGCGTAGTTGAACAACTTAGCATTTTAATTTCTACCTTAAGACAGCCGTGTAAGGTTTCTTTGGTGCCAAGAACTGTACATTTTAAACCAAATTCAGTCGTACGACACGCCCATGGTAAAGACTCAAAGTTCATGATCGTGCAGAGTCCCAGTAGGTCACTTAGGACATGCCGTGCTTCAAACTCAAAACCCGGGCATCCTGGTAATCCAACTACAATGGTCCCTGGTGTGATATAAGGTTTTAAAACCTCCAGATAACCACGATGGTCCGCAGCCCGCTGCACAAGGACCAATAAATCAACATTCTCCATGGCTTTGCTTGGGTTGTTCGTCACTAATACGGGTTTGGACACAATACGAGTTTGCTCCTTTCCTTTCCTGTGTAGGGCAATTTCGAGATTCCTTTTCTGCAACGCAGCATTCCAACGCGCCGCTCGTTCTCGAGACAACGTTAATACTCTTACGTCGGTTCCTTTCAAAGAAGAGGCTATGCCGGCAAAGGCATGAGCACCATTTCCACTTCCACATATCACCAACTTAATGGAGTCGAGGGTCATCTCTGTAAACATGAATTTTTATCGTTTTTCTTTAACTTTTTTCTAACATGATGGCTCCGCGTTTTTTGGTCATTTTTCTGTATTTGGTTTGGTTTTCTTTGTGCTCAAGTTTCTTTTGGGAATTGCGAGACAATGGTGTCTTGAAAAATTTGCATTTTGACCCTAAACAAATTGTCTCGACGGCTCCCTCGAGTTGTAAGTAAAACTGAGCTACGAGCGCGAGGTCCAAAGCAACAAAAAGTACCTACAAAATATGACTATCTTTTCAATAACTGATTAAAAACAAAAATACTAGCACACCGATACTGCTTTAGTATGAGAGACGAGGGGAGCCACAGCGAGAGCGGTGCTTTTTATTATTGTATTCTCTTAAAGAATAAGGCTAAAAAGGTTATAAATTACAGAGCTTAAACAGCGGATTTGAGGTCACGGACGTCAGGAAGGTTGCGCCCGGTCTGGATCGAGTACGGCGTTTGTGGCGCGAAAAGCGAAGATTAAGCAATGAATCACAGGTCTTTGGTAGAACGGGAGTCACGAACGTCTTGTCTGAATTTTGCTGCTTGAAATGTCTTCAGTCATCAGACTCTGACTCATGACATAGCATTTTGAATGTCAGAAAGATCTTTGTCGCTGACGGGGACTCGTACATTTTCTTTGCCCCATTCTCATATGAATGTTTCATCCTTCACATTTATTCGCTAAGCTTGAAATGCCGTCGCCGTACAATTTGATTGTGTAGATCAGTGTGTTGTGTCTGCTGTGTAGCGAACAAAAATTACCACTGATACATGATAGCGAAGTTTAGCGGTCCATGTTATTTGCATTTTGCTGTAGTATTCATTTTCAAAGTTGATTGCGCCAAATATCACAGGGGTCTCTCTAAAAAAGGTTTTCAGGATATATATAATCAACCCGATGCACAAAAACACGCAGTCATAACATTTTCATTTAAGTCTTTAATATTTTTCATTGTACACAAAATAACAATTCATGCAGTCGAAATTATCGGCCGTTAAAAGTTACAAAAAGACAAAGCCCCCTGAGATATGAGTTCACTTAATGATGATTCACATGCCGGACAAGAAATAGGGTAAGTCTTTCGTAAATCACGTAAATTGCCAACTTCCAGTTCCGCAGCCAGCTAGAGCTAGCCGGGTCAACCTGTCGACTGTTTATCAGATGTTTACATCTCTAAAAACGCCGAATGAATAGCTTAGAACTTAGAACTTAGAACTTAGAATAAATACTCCAAAAACAAAAACTTAATATTAATACAAATCAATAATAATAATAATAATTCAATAATAATACAAATCACTATATGGGCCATATAGTGATTTGTATTATTCATATACTGCCATATAATAGGGCAGTATGCTCTTAAACTTTTATACAATTCTTGTTACAGTTTAATACTCCCTACTTAAAGTACCAACCTGTAGAGATGTGAAGGCACCTTAAGTGACCTAATGGCAGGCAAAGCAGACTGCCTAAAACAGCTTAATATAGAAGATGACGTAACTCCATAAGGGGGAAGATTCCAGACTCTAATAACCCTTGGGAAAAATGAATAATTGAAAACTGAGACATTTGCCTGTAATTGACAATAGTTGGTGAGATCTGGTAGACCTGATTTTGTCGGTAGATTTAACTGGATAACTGGACTAGGAGTTTGACAGTTTATTAAATTATTATCAAATTTATAAAAAAAAAGCACTGATTGGTTGAACAAACGCCTGTGTTCGAGAGTATCCCAGCCTAAGGACTTAACAAGGCTAGAAGTACTTGTTGCAATGTTATAGTCGTTGCATACAAAGCGAGCTGCATTCTTCTGAAGTTGCTCAAGGCGCTTATATGTCAGTATCAGTGTAAGAATTCCACGGAGAGGATGCATATTCAAGCGTAGGTCTAGCCGGTGAACAGGCTCTCTGTTAGCGTAGGTCTAACCAGTGTCATATAACTCTCTCTCTTTAACCTCAGAAGCAGAAGAGCAGAAGAATTTTCCATGGCTATAGGCCAACAGTTTAACCACAATATCGGAAATTACCAAATAATTCTTATCCAAACGCGGACTTGCGAGTCCTAGAATGTCGCGTTCTATCTTGAACTTCGAAAGAGACGCTCTGGCGTCGGCGACCTGACCTCACGGGCGTAAACACATTTGCAGTATATTCACACTGGCGCAAGTGACTTCCGGTCGACGTTCGTGACCTCAAAAACGTCTGCTGCTTAATTAAACTCTCAACCTCCTCCCTTCAGTCATTACAGGGAAATCTCAGACCTCGGCCTTGATGTATTGGGCTTGCTATCCCTCGGTAAATACATCAAGGCTCGGTCTGAGATTTCTCTGTAATGATCTCACTCTCGGTTAATAGTCAAGAGTGCTATTACTTGACCCGTGAATAGAATACTACACACTTTTATATGCACTAATTCCATTGTATTCTTCATTGGATTAGTGAAATCCAAGTAGTGGTCTATTATCAATGCTGCGTTCTGATTGGTTGAGCTGCGAAAGGCGCCGGTTTTGAAAACCAAAACAATGGCTGCTGAATCGCGTTTTGCTAACTAAAGTTGTTTTGTCTTGATATTTTTGACCAACTAGCACAAGCTGAAAGAGCATATTAAAATTAGGTAGGCTAAGAATTT